GATGATCGATCTTCTAGTTGTGAATATCGCGCGTAATCAAATCGCTAGTTCGAATAGGTCAGTGACATTTCGATCTTATCTCGCAATTCTCTTGGTTATAGAGCAGGAAATATGCTATCGTTCCTTTATTTACATTGCTCATCGATAACAAAGTCGCGCGCGAATAAATACACTCTCGGAATTTTAATTTATCCTTACTCTCGAGAAGAGACTATTATTTGAGCAGCCTGATTGCAGCTGAAAATTGCATTATCAACCTGACTTTTTCGTAGTATTATTGCCGTTTTTTTTTTTTTTTTTTTCCCGTACATCATAGTACAGTTATTTACTGTACCTGTTATTCGAAACGGTCATCGCGAGCCGCTTTAATAGGTCATATGATTATAAAACCTTTCACGCATCCATGTACGTGATTTATCGTGATTTATAAGGTCTCTTCCGGTCTCCATTCAAGGGAGAGTACCAGTTACATATATATAAAACCGTTGACGAAAGGCTTATCAAGGGGTGGCGACAAAGTAGGAATCAATCCGTTCGACCTCTAGCAACTTGACTCTTCGATACTCCAACCACCCAATCCAATATTATTATTATTATTAAGTAACATCTCAAGTATAACATCAACCATAACATAAAGATCACAATTTGTTAAAATATAAAACAGTACATGTAATTAGCAATGATTTTAAATATATCAGAGGCAGATCGAGAGATACCTCTCTTGGCTCTTCGATACTCCGTCTATCAAATATTACTATTATTAAACAACATCTGGAGTCGTTTCGCGAGAAGATCACGCTTTGTTAGAATATAAAAACGTTACGCGTGATCTTGAAAGGACTTTAAATGAACCGGAGGCAGGTTGGCGAGATCGATGCGGACTTTCTAAACGCCCTGTATACAAACGACTTCCCTACCGATGGTAGGGGGACCACGGTTCGCTCTCTCTCGCACTGGCCCCATCCGTGTGTTCGAGACGTACAATGGCCGCCGTGTGAGCCGACGTGCTGCGTGCCTCAAGTATTAACCGTCCTCAATTTTCCCGACTTAATTTGCCGGCTGAGAAACGCCCACGAAAAAAAAAAATGCGCGATGCCCCGCCGCGGTGCTACTATTCGACGCGAGTCCGCGCGACAGCGAGCTCCGACGGACGACGCCCGCGTCCTGACCATGGGCCATCATCATCATCATCATCATCATCATCGTCATCATCATCATCATCATTATCATCATTATCATCATCATCGTCATCATCATTGTCGTCGTCGCGTATGTCGTTGACGCTTCTTTGCGAAAACACAGTGACCGACAGGACGCGACCGATCGCGTCCGGGTGGATCACGCCGTCGCGACAAAACGGCTGCTAAAACTCTCCCGAGGATCTCGCCAGCCAAAGACAACCGAAGCGAACGTTTCTACGTTGCGTCCGTACACTTGTGACCTACCTTAATATTCAGTGTCGTGAAATATTACCACGCCAGACCACGGTGTTATTACGTATCCCGGGTTGTATCCCGCTCCGCCTGAGGAAGGTAATTGGTAATTTCTCCAAGGTACTTCTGGTATTGGATCTCTGGAGCGATGTAGGACTCGAGCGTATCCTGTGTGTCAATTATCGGAGCAAGACGGTATTTTTGCGAATAATCGGATCCCTGTGTGTCTTTTAGTATTACATATATCAAAGTACCACGAGATGCAAGCGTGGATTAGTCATCAAAAGTTTTGAAGATACGTCAGTGAACAGCTCTTCGTGAACGTTCATTCAGTCCCCTCCTACGTAGGTAATTCGCCCAATCTAACCGGATTAACGTGCTCCAAGTTGACGATATCCTCGCCGCCTTAACTCGCTGTCAATAAAGCTCTTAAGAGACAAATAAGAGAAAATCCGACAAAAAAAAACTCAGTAGCACGTATATTTCCACGAAAAAAAAAGTGAAATCATTGGATTATATATGCACATTGTATGCCAGACTTTTCCCGGTATGGTTAAATGAGAGATCGTTCCGATAGATAAGTTATACTTACGTCGCTGCGAAAGAATGTATGTACAATTAACTATTCACTTAAACTCCGTCTGAAAATCGTCTAAATTACCATACCCGCAATTCGCATTCGTTTTTTATTTAAAGCCACGTTATCGCAGGAATGTGTGACTCATGTTGCTCGCTTTTCAAAATGCGCTAGAATATCGATAGTAACTTTCACTTTTCGAAAATAACACGCTTTCGAAGTTGTCTCGAATTATTCGAGCGTGGACGGAACGCTTTCGTTTTTCTTTTTTTTTTTCGCGGGGAAATCTCATTGCTCGAATATGAACGTAGGAAAAGCGAGTTATAAGCCGAGAAAGTCGTTCTTTGCGCAATATAAAAAAACCAATCTGCAATTATAACACTAGCGATCCAGTGGGAATGCAGGAATTCGAGTTTGATAGTTGAAGTTAACCAATTAATTAGCTACATTAACACTTGTAATTATTAATTTCTCAGAGGACATTAAAACTTTCCAGAGAATCGAATGAATCACTAAACAAAAATACTTTATACTTAATTCAGATAATTACAAAAATATGTACAAAAGATAACAGGGGTTTCAGGTTTATTTGATAAAAATCGAGGCTTTAAATATTTATAAAATATCATCATTGACATTCCTTTCATAGGCACCGACTTAGGAAATATACTGCCGATACTATGGCAGTCGAATGTTCGATTGTTCGATAATCAGCCGCTTTGATGTATTTATGATTCGACCATCTCGAAGAGAAAAGTGACAATGGAGACAGAGGAGACTCCGGTGGGGTCTCCTTGGTACGGCAAGGTTTTCGAGTGTTGGAGGAACCGAAATCGAGTCGGTCCCGGTAGAATCGAGCTGCCCGACTGCGACTTCTTTATCGTGGCACCACGACGCACGCTGCGTGTTCTCAGGCCGACCCTGAAGAGTGGTTGGTATTACGAGAGCACGGCGGTTGATCGGCCGGAGTCGGTCAACGACAATTTCTTCAACCGATGGGCCAGGAGGCCGCATCCGTCTGGAAACTGCAGATGCTCCTTTCGCCAATCCATCGGTGCGTTAAGTACCACCGAGGAGCGAATACTGTCCGCGGAATTGAATCGCATCCGGACGAGTCTCTGCGAGGCCGAGAAAAACGCGCACGGCATCGAGGAACTGGAGCAAAGAGTCACTGCGAATCTACAAAAGTTACGGGACACCTCGGAAGCCGCCGAACGCGCGAACGAAACGGTGCCTTCGATATTAACGCCTGATCGCCAATCGTTCGAACAAAGCGCGAAGCAACAAATCGTCAAGGATTTGGAAAGGTAAGTTCGTCGACTCGATAAGGACAAAACGAGATGCGAAAGATTTTATTCAATTATTCAACAAGCAATTTTAATAAAAAAATAATAATAATGTTACTTAAATGTATTATCTTAGATGTAATATCTTGAACTTACATCATTCTTCTTCAATCTTTTTTATATTATTTGTCAAAGAATTGATACATTGTAAAAATCAAAAATAAATTTTTATCAGGTATATCAATACGCTTCTAGAAGAAGTGCTTGATGACACTGTTAAGCATGTAACCGGTGTAGAAAAGAATAGCGTTCAAAATTCTTGGCAACGAACGAAAAATAATCTGATGAAGTCGCAGCTCGATAAATCCAAAGAGAAAATTTCAATAAAAAAGGACGGAAATGACTCCTTTATCGATATTAATCTCCGTCTCCCAGCGGATAAGAGAGAAACGCAGGAGCAGTGGAGTACGGAAAATGAACATAAAAGGCAATTCGCTAGTGTTTCCATAGGCGAAGGCTACGTGAATCCCGCTTTCGTCGGTTCGACGGATGAGCTAGCTTCTTTAGACTTCGATTGTTCTACAAGAAAACATAGTAAGCGATAGATTTAAATAAAATATGATATTATTTATTATCTTATTATAGACAAATATCTTTCTCAAATTCCTTTTTTTTTTTGTTCAATATAAAATTTTTCACTATTTTTGCATCTTTTTTTGTGAAATAGCAGATTTATATCTTGGAATAGCAGCGGATAGCATTTCTCCAGAAAAGTTAGATTGCGTGGATTCTGGAATAAATAGCGTAGAGACTATCGAGTTTCAACTACCTGATCAAGAACCGAGTTTCGAGCAATCTCTTTTACGAATCATTGATGAGAAATTGGGAAGAGGTCCTTCAGCGAATAATTCGGAAGAGGATAGCCTTGAAAAAAATTCGCAGAAAGCTGTTTCAAAAGAAGAGAAGAACAAAGAAGAGTCTGCCTCTCGGGAGATATTAACTTCCAAATTTGGAACATCGTCGACCGATCCCGATTCCTGGGAAGTGGAGCGACTGGAGGATACTGTTAATATAGAAACTGATTTCAAGAAATTACGCCTGGAATTTCAAAGCAACGGCAAGAATTTGTCTCCGAACGATGAAACTCTATCGAAGATGAATGTAAAATTAATGGAAACCTCTATTGAACTCAAGGATTATAAGAAATGGGTGGAATTCGACGAAATCTCTTCGCAGGAAAATACGCGACGAAGCCTCCGCGATTCAATAATTCAACTAAGAAGGAATAGAAAACCAACCATAGTTTTTCTACACGGGTTTGGTTCCTCAGCGGAAATCTTCGAACATCAACTACAATATTTTTCTTCCCATGGTTATCCTTGCATCGCTCCCGATATGCTCGGCCATGGTATGAGTTCAGCGCCTGATCGTTCTAGAGATTATCATTTCGGCAAGTTACTCAAGGATCTAGATGCCGTTCTACACCATTATGCTTTCAAACCAGGGGAAAAATGCGTCTTAGTCGCACATAATTACGGGTGAGGTGCTATTTAAAAACGGATTGTGAAATTTCTTTCCTTCTTTTGACTGATTTGTATCAAATTATTTTTATACAAAATGAGGAAAACTGATTTTTTACCTTGGTAATATTAATAAAATTAATATTTTACAAATATCTAATATAAATTTTAGATGTAGCTTCGCTACGGCGTTAGCTTGTAAATATGATAGCAATATCCATCAACTCGTGCTAATATCGGGCGGCGGACCGACTCCCCTTGCCCCGCCAAGCACGGAATGTGCGGGTCATTGCTGTCTCAGGGCGATTCTTGCGCCTCTGCTGATGTGTGGTCTTCATCGAGATATTCTGTATTCCGCTCGAGGTCGACAGCATCCTTATTGCGGTCAAGAATCGATGGAACAGTGGCCTTCGCATATGAAATACGTACTGAACGGCATGAATTGGCCGCAAGGCGATTATGCCTTCCATAGAAAAATATGTACGCCAACGCTTTTAGTGCATGGACTAAGAGATAATAAAGTGTCGCTAGTACAAGAGTGTCAAATGGAAAGGGTGAGATTATATTATATATTTGCATCATATTCTCTCTCAATCCGATAAGTAACGAGAAATAAATATACAAAATGTTACGAATGTAAATAAAAAATTATTAAGATTAATTAATATATGATTTCTTTTAAACTAATTAGTTTATTCCGAATTTTTTAGACAATGGTAAAGGCTTTCCTCGAAGCTATTCCAATGGCTGGTCACAGTCCAATGACTGATTGCCCCCAGCAACTGAATCATATGATACATTGCTTTATAGATCTGTGGAAGAACAAAAAATGGCAGCAATGACTATTCTTTCTAGGAATAACGTCTGCAATGTTATATTATATTGAAATTACATCGACGCACACGTAATTGATTAACAAACCATTTATAAATTAACTTTCAGTTAGATATTAATATTTAACTCTTTTGCTGTGGGCAGAGGGATTCTAAATACATATGCAACTTGAATCGTTGTCGTAAATATGCCAAAAGTACAAGCTAACGTCGAAAGATTTGTTTCGATATTGAATCTCTACATATTTCTATACATACGTATCTGTGCCGCTATATATATATATACAGTAAGTAATGAATAGGACAAATAATCTTTCATGACATGTATTCACAGCAAAAGGATTAAACTGAAAAAATAAGCTTTTACTTTATGATTCAAAAGATTCAATTTGATCAAACAAGATAAACGTTCATGTGGCCTTATAAGAGTGTGCCAAATTTTGTACAGATATGTACAGAAAAAGATGTACAGATAAAATAAATATGAAATGTCTTATTTGTCTTGATCACTTGAAATAACTTTTATATATTTCGAAATTTGTTTCTTTTAATGTTCGATAATATGTATTGTATCGAGCATTAAATATAAGATGTTTCGATTCGATTTTAAATTTTTAATCTGTATCTGAAGATTTTTATCAATATAAATATTATTTATGAATGAACCATATATAAAATGTCAATTAAAACAGATAAGCTTTTTATTAAAAACGTTATTTTATTCTCTTAGATAAAAGAGTCATTTTAAGTGATCCAGCAAATATTGAACAGAGGCTATAGAACAGCGTATAGATTTTACCAAAGATGATTTATACATCGTTATTTTTCATATACAGTACTTTTTAATATAAGTTATACGTTTTACAAATAAAATGGTATACAGATGATTACATCGTTGCAATGATTGTTACGTATTTAACAGAATTAAATAATTAATCAGTCAACGATGCACGAATATGTTTCGTGCTCGTCTGAAATCACCATTATCGTTAGCGATTCAGTAACGTTTGATTAAGCGGATTCTCAGACGACTTCATCCATTCTTTCCTAAGTATTTGTTTTAACTGACTCAATCTTAAGGTAGGATTTTGTTCTTTAATTATCGGCATCATTCGTTCTTCGAAGCTCGCATACGCGGCTTTCATCCGTTTCTCCGGATGTCGATCAATATCAGGATCCTTCGAGCTAAAAATGCAATAATATAAACGATAAGTCGAGCAAATAAAAAAATATATATAATTATTATTTTCTTGATGATATACAAGATATTTGATTTGATATTTCTGTCAAAATCTTTGATTATCGTTATAATTATTAGATGCTATAAAAATTGCATCTTAATGTCTTGAATGTAATTACCTTAAAACAGATATAGCTTCATCTATACCATGAGCCGTTTCATCTTCCAAAATCAATCGATTCAAATTTTCCTCGATCGGTTTCTCCTCTTCCTTCTTCTTCATAGCCACTTGATTTCGTTTTTCAGTAATAGCAACGATTTCGGCTCTAGTAATTTTCGATGCTGGCTGCTTGCCACCGACTTTTATATTTGCCATTTCTTTTTCAAGCAAAGCTTTTGCTTCCGCCTTTTTTTCTAATTGCTGTTGACGTTTCTTCTCAAGTTCTTCCTACATATGATAAAATATACAATTGTATTATCGATACGGTTATTTATCTAATGCCGTCAATAATAATTGTAATGCATATATACTTGTTTTTGTTTCTTCTTCAATACTTGTTTATCATTGTCCTCCCATGCTCTATCTTCCGCTTCCTTTGCTTTTTTGACATTTTCTGCTTCTTTAGCTGCTGCTTTTCTAGCTCGAGCGGCAACTGCCTTGCTATTCTCACCCACAAATTTCTTCGGCATGTTGATCTGCCGCATGTAAATTGCGATAATTATTCGCAAGATTTCGTTTTATTTATATTATCTGATCTCAATAATATCTAAACGGATACATATACGAATGTTCCAAAATTCGCAAATCAAAAAATCAATAAAAAAATTCTAGAAAAAAATATTTGTCATTTTTCATTCCAAAAACAGTAATTTTTGAGATATAATGTTTTAAAATTGACTACTCGGAGATTAGATAGTCAACTTTAAAACGATCACTGAGTCAATATCGATTATAGTGCGCTTTTACTGCAACATTGATTAACTTTAAAATATCATATTTCAAAAACTATTATTATGAATTATTATATTACTATTATTTGGAATGAATATTTTTTTTTTTATTTTATTTTTTTTGTAGAATTCTTTCTGTAGCACTTTGATTCGAATTTTTGAACACTCTATATATTAAGTATATTTACGTTGGCAATAGTTGGACATGCGCGGATCATTGTGAACATTATCAAGAATCAGGTTAAGAGACTTCAAAATAATCGACATTCCGAGGTCACAATAGTACGAAAAAAAACTCGCATATGTGTGTATTTTTAATCTTGTGGAGCGGATAATAAATGACGTATCGCGCGGACTCACGGAAAGCACATGCTTACGCGATTTAAAAGCGGCTGCAAGTGTTTAATCATCACACGTGAAATGTCGAAACAGCGATCCACGAAAAATGCAAAGGCGCCAAAGGCGATTAGTGCCGACGTAAGCGATCATCCTGACGCTACACTTACCGATTCCTTGCCTACAGGATACTCGATCACCTAACGCGAAAGTAGCGCGACATTTTCTATTATATACGCTTTACCATTCTTGGTGATCTCTGACAACTCCGGTTACTCCGTATCAACAAAAGTGACTAACCACGGCTGCCAACCTTATAGCCTAGTTCTCGTTATTGCCGCAATTGTAATTTAGTGCGCGGAATATTACACGTGGGTGAAATTGTGACAGCTGTCATTTAGCACGTGGCAAGGTGTTGTCATGCAATAGAAAACGACATGTTAAAAAAGCATATTCATTATTATTTCTATATTGCTGCTTGTAATCAAATTGAAAATTTTTTCCTTCTTCTATTTCAATTAAAATTTTTACTTTTTTTTTTTTATAATCAGACAATCTAATCGTTGGTATTAATTATTTATCTTCCATTTAGAAGTGCAAAATTTAATCGAAAATAAAATTTTACTAATCTATTTTGATATTTTTAAAATTTTTGAGACTGTTTTAAAAAGATTGTTGTATTTAAAACTTTTAATTTTAACTATTACAACTTTTTGATATTTATTTAATGATATTTATGATAAATATTTCTTTCGTAATTTTTATAGCTGTATTCTGTATATGTAAATTACAATTACGTACATATTCTCAATTATTCTAAATAAAAAATTTACTATAAAGATCAGTCTACACGATTGTATAATTTGCGCTCATAATTTGGGAAATATTAATCTAGAAAAGGAAGGATTAATCAAGTTTTTCAAGCGTTTTAAGAACATTTCTCGAAAATTCTTCTTTTATATCTCAAATTAGGAAATTATTCGTTTACTTATATACTCAGACAAAAGTAGAAATTAACAATTTGTATATAAAAAATATATCATAATATTCTAGAATTTATAAATTTTTTCAAAACTGAAATTATAAGAAAGAATTAAATTCTATCTGGAATGCAAGAGTTATTACAAATTATGGATATTACTCCAGATATATATTTTCCGATTAATATTTCGAAGATTATCATGAAGATTATCATAAGGCCATAAAGAAACAAATTTTTAGTAAAATGCTGAGAAAATGTTTCTAGCGGAGAATATACATATTTACTTGCTGAAAAGTTTACGCGATGTTAATAAAGACTTATGGCTCTTGCACACAAAGCATCGTTAAGAAACAATGCGTAATTTATGCGGTGATCACTCAACCTCTCACTTTTCCGGAAATAATAATAGATACAACGGGACATTGATTGCGTTTACTCGTGTTTTTACGCGCCAAGTGTGTCAAGATATTTCCTTCATTTGTTAACATATTGTTTACAGACTTCATCTACAGGATCTGTGGTTTTGAATAAAGACGGAAATGTTGTGATTAAAATTCAAGCTAAACCCGGAGCAAAATGTAACAACATAACCGGTAATAGGAAATATTATTTAATAAATTTTCTTTAATTGTTTATTGACGAAATTGCATAATTATTGTTTAACAAATGCAAATGAATACCCCTAGATATTTCCGATGAAGCAGTAGGTATTGCAATTTCCGCCCCGCCAACGGAAGGTGAAGCTAATACCGAGCTCATTAAATATTTAGCTTCAATTTTTGGAGTAAGAAAATCCGACGTATCCTTAGATCGGGTTAGTCCTTTAATTAATACGAAAAAAATTTTTATTAGTTTGTGTGTTTTAAATTTTCTTTTCTTTTGCAGGGATCTCGAAGTCGTGTGTTTTAAATTTTTTTTTTGCAGGGATCTCGGAGTCGGCAAAAAACAGTTATAGTATCGGGAATAACAACAGATCAAGTTTTGACGAAATTGAAAGGAGAAATGGAAAATTAAATGTTTGTTATATACAAAAACGCATTTTTCTGTCATTAGACAATTTTCTTCAATTTTTCACGTACAATTTTTCCTTATAAATATATCTCAATTCCTAATATATTTCAATTCCTATTTTTGTGTTATACTTATTTTGCACATAATTCTGTTAAAAAAATGTCAATTATGTTATACAATATTATACAAATTTATACATCTATTTTTTTATAAAGTTAATTAATCGAATTAGGGCATTGTCAATTCATAAGATGTAATATACATTCAGTTTTTTAACAGCTATAACAGCTTTTAACAACTATATAATCGCACCAGTTATAGTAGTTTTCAAAGATCGCCATCGATTTTTCGAAATTTTACACGAGTGTTGCTGTGACTAGGCAATGTAAAAATCGATGAAGATTTTTAATGAAATAATAAGCCTGTTTTTTATTGCAGCACCGAACAGCATTAAAACTTTCTATTTCGCTTTCGCTAAATTTCAAACATATATCTATTTCATTATAAGTACAACAAATGTACACTAGTTTAGATATAAAAAAACAGACCTAATTATAAGCGCATGCATACGACTATGATCGCAATCATCTGAATGTGATCATAGAAAATTAGTACCTTTATATTGAGGCACTAATTTCGTAATAATCCAATAATAGATATGTTAAGCTTTCACTCTTGTATTTCGAAGGCCTTGTCGTCAAGCCAAGGTCGAAAAATGGGTAGCGTCGAGGGATAATGAGCACCCCGTTTGGACGGCGCCGTACCAGCTGGTGCACCCTCCGGTCTCAGGGGATACGTGGCAAGCACGATCGGTATTTGTAACTTGATTTCCTTGTCCAAACTCTTCGGGCTTATGACGAACTGCGGGAAACGTTAATCATGCCATAAATAAAAGAGCTTTAACACATCTGCGACGATTCTGCGACTGTATAATTGCGTCACGCTTGAAAAGAAAAATCTCTCTTGGAACTCACATAAACATGGTAGAGAACGTTGATCAAGTGGCATCCTCTGAGATTCGTCGGCGGCAAGGGAGGAACGTACATTTGTTCGTTTAGCCACTCCTCGCCCTCACCCGGCCGGATCTTCCCTCTGGAGACGCTAGCTAATTCGCGAGTCTCGCTTGCGAGCACTTTACCCCGACACAAATATTGTATCGTTTCGGTGAGCGACGCCTTGGTTGATTTCATCGTCACCTGTTAATTCTCAGTTTCTCAAACTTTTTCTCATATCTTTAGTAGCGTATCGCTACTACTAGACTAGATCGATTAAAAGCGTCGAAATTAAATTTATTGGGTCTGTCGGTTATGGATACATACCTTGCTGCGATTGCTGACAGTGGCAGAAATACCGATCGTTTCCCCTGGTACGTATCCACCCCGGTCCAGACTCACTCTGCAGAACACAGGCCCGCCCGATACGCAAGAGACACCCACGCGCTGTTCGATCTCTTGCCTCGCGGGTTGCTGTTTACGATTACGAAGGCATTATTTATTTTGAAGCGGCTTCTTGCGAATTTGCGCATAATTTTTCCGAATGATTCAAACAGAAGTTTGGAAATCGAAATTAAATATCTCAGAAAATATTGTTATTACCGATGGCCAACGTTCGCCAAGCGATACGTTCGCCTATCCACGATTGAACAATACTCGTCGCTGAAATGCTGTCCGCCAACGCGAGAATTTTCTCACACACTTTTCTAAAGATGCAAATGCATCGCTGCCAGGGTATATGGGTGGCGATTCCATCATGATCTAGCGAGTTTATCGTGTGTCGCAACCGGTACAGAACAAGGCAAATACGAGTCGCCGCACAAAAAAATTCTTCGCGTCTTTTTATTTAATCTGGAATTTATTTATCGGATACGTAATCTCTTTAATTTCTTTGCCTCACGTCAAGATATTTGCGACGCTTTCTATACAGGTCGGCGACCAGTATTTGGGTCTCGGTTATGGTAATGCATGCCGGGTATTCATTTAATTGCACGCGCGAAACACTTTCCTTGGTCCGAAACGGTTATGGTAAGTTGAGAGAATGTTTATTCATAACAATCATTTTGTAATAAAATGAAAATATCTAGCTATCGAAAAATTTAAAACGTGTATGAATAAAAAATCTGCAGATATATCAATTCGCCAATTATCATAAGCGATTGTCATTAGCTCACCGCTAATATCGGTGGTTCCAGATTTAAGTCGATCGGATTCATAACGATGAAGACTTGTTGATTTTTGTGAGTAAGTCCACCTGGCTCGCGAAGAGCCGCTTTACAATAATATTGCACCCATCCATGTTTTCCGAGAAAAGTGGAGGGTAGACCCAACGGTAATCCCAATTTGAAGGGAAAGCTATGTATTCCGGGAGATAACAATGACGGTCCTTCGCCTATTAAAAAAAAAAAAATACGCGTTCTCCATCAGAAAAATTAAAGATTTATTACTTTATCTCGAATCAGAAAGATGTCAACAAGGGTATCATATTATCAATTATACCATCGCAAAAGTTCTTGTTAAGCTATTATTACACAATATAAATAATTCATTCGGGAACATCACTTAAAGAACAAAAACACGATTTATTTCATCGTTGTATTTAATTAATGTTTTCATAATTTCACCTGGTTCACCCAGCAGCCGCATGCGAAAATCGATGTAATTCTCTTTGTCGTAAACTCTCTCGGCACGTTGACTGCGTACTCGAACTACACCTTCTCCCACAACATGGAAATGCAGTCCCGAGACGCTACGGTAACGTACCCCACATTATTAAAACTTGTATTATTTACTACGGTAAAAATCTAGCGTTTTTTTTTAACCAGGTCGCGGTGAAAAGATATTCTTCTTTTTTTCTAACTCATGCACCTTGACGCATGTAAAAATAATTTTTCAGACCGTAAACTTATCTCGACCATATCCTCTTTGACTCTCTGACGAGACGCTACTTACTAAGCTTCATCGTCCAGCTCTATGAGCACACGGCCGGACAAGAAGTGGCCGGGGAAATACAGTAGATTCGTGTTGTCGAAAAGTATCAAGAACTTGCTGAGCTTCCTCGTCATCTCGCCGCCGTAAATGGAAGTAGGTGCACTCCTCGTTATGTACTCGCGGAGAAGGACGGCCTCTGCGGACACGCGTTTACGTCACCGCGGCTTCACGCTCACTGAGTATATACGTCGAGGTACGCGCAGGAGCAACCTTCTTCTTCCATCCGTTACCTCGTGACGCGACGTGAGAATCACTGGCTTGCATCGCATCAGCAACACGTTCGTAACATGGCACGCGCTTCTCCCTCTCGTTCCCTCTCCTTCGTTCGGTTTCACTCCTCCCGTTGCGTGCTGGCTACCCAGCTACGATACCACCACGGTATCACCTCATCGTCGCGCTTCTCTCAACCGCGGCACGCCATTTTCCGCACACTTCTCGAGGCTCTCTGCGAGAAAAGACAGACGGAGGAAGTCGCGAGTCGAAATGCTCCGAACTCAAAGCGGTTCGCCCACCGCGAACGTTTTTCTGTCAACGCTTTGTAGTAGTCATCGCACCTTCCTGCCCATTCTTGGAGACGCGTTTCACTTTCGCTCCCTACCCTCCCTGCCCGGTTGCTTCTTTACCACCTCCCATCTATTCTGGTATCCGACTAGTCTCTCACCTGACCTCACCTGCCTTTGATACTTGCCCAATGGTGACATTCTAATCAACATTACTGCTTTTGGTATATCGAAACCCGAAGGATGCGTTTGTATTAGCGATCAAAATCGCGTTTGTCGATAAAAATAATAGAAGCACAAAATTTTTTCTACGTGATGTTTAAGCGCTCAGATAAAAGTGCATTTATTCCAAAAAGGGAAAAATAAATATTTTTGTAAGGACTTTAATAAATATTTAAAGTCTAGAGACAATCTATAATTTGTATTATAATTTGGAATAAAATTTTGTTTATAATTTTATGTAATATAAAAAGATATTAAAAAATTGAAATATAATATATATTTAAATATATATACATATATAGCATATAAAAGTATAAAAAAGAATTTTATTCTAAAATTTGATCAAATTATAGATTATTTAAAACAAGCTTAATAAGTATTCAGTTTAAACAAATTTAGTAAAATTTTCTACATAAAACAGAATTAATTTCTTTTAATTTCTCTATTTTATTTTTATAGTAATTTATTTAGTTAGATATTTTAGAATAATAGAGATTTCTATGGTTTACAATTTTAATTTTATTTATATATTTATTAATGTTTGTTTGAAATAATTTCAGCTTTGTATTTATAACAATAGCAGAAATATCGTTTAAAGATAATAAAAATAGAAGAAACAAGGAATACTCTTATTTGCGAAATATCTTATATAATCGTTTCAAAACTGTCTTTATTTGCACGGTTTGCATGTGTATGTTTGACAGGCTGAGCAGTTTCGACAACCTTCAGGCTTGATTCGTCCCCGAATTGAACACGAAAACAACTTGAAGCTGTCCACATTGCAGAACGTGCTGCCGTGTAGTGAAGCTGGCCGCGAGTTACCGATTCCCTGTAGAAGTGTCACAACAGTGATGTGTATCGTGTGTACGTGTGTTTTATTATTATTTAAAATGTTATCAATATAAATTATTGATAAAAAATATTTTATCTCGTTCGTAGAATTTGAACGACTCATCATCACATGTTTAAATTACTTGTAGTTTAGAAACTAAGATAAAAATGGAGAACAAAGTAATTAATCAGAAGGAATACTTGAAAAAATATATATCTTTGGGTGATAGTGATAAAAAGAAAAAGAAGAAGAAGGAGAAAAAGAAGCTCAAAACGGGAATAAAAACGTAAGAATAAATCTACAAATCTTTATTTTAACGATGAATGTTTTGCATTAGAATTAGGTTATGTTGTCAGTTTTGCGTGATGTTTTGAAATACAATATTAGGATGCAAATGAAGACTATATATGAATAATATTATGTTTATATTGCGATGATATGGAAATTATCATCTTTTTATATAAAATTATTAGGTATTACTTTCTAAATAGTAGAAATACAATATTTTATAATCCTTTTAAGAATAACATTGCCCTGAAAGTTTCTTGTTTTATTCAGAACTCAGAATTTAGACTTATTTGTAGTATATTTTTTCAAATTATTCAAATTAATTTATATACACCGCGACTTTGATATTTACAAAGTTATTTTATAACTCTCTTTCATTGTGTCTCTTGAATCTCTTTCATTATATAATTAAGCTTTCTTGCTCTTTATAAAGTATTTTTTACTAGGGGATTCTTTGATCTAACCAGTGAAATGGGCGGACGTATTTTTGCAGAGTAAAAATTATAGACGACGATATAGATTTGAAGAATATGAGACCCATTGAAGAGGGTGAATTCGATATCCTTTTAGATGGAGAAGATGCTCCTCAAATCGCAGGTATAGTTGATGAACGTGGACCAGTCGATTTCACAGATAAGAAAAGATGGAAGATTATAACCGAGGACAATGAAGGCGATTTAACTATTATTAATCGTAATACTGTTTATGAAGAAAAAATAATTTAGATGAGACAAATCAAAATAACGCTAATCTTGATTTAAGTCCACCTAGATCTAAACATTCCAAAAATAAACATATGGATCTGAGTCCACAAGGACGGTCCAAAGATGATAGTTCAGATCTAAGCCCACTTAGATCCAAACATTCTAAAAGTAAGCGTATGGATTTGAGTCCACATAGAGGATCAAAAGATGACAGTTCGGATCTGAGTCCGCCTAGGCTCAAGCATTCTAAACACAAACATTCGAATACACGCAGACAGTCTAAAGACGATGACTCGGATTTGAGTCCACCTAGACAATCTAAAAATTATGATTCAGACTTGAGTCCACCTAGATTGTCCAGAAATAATGATTCTGATTTGAGTCCACCTAGGAAATCTAAAGATTATGACTCAGATATAAGTCCACCTAGAAATACAAAACATCGGACTTCAATGCGCAGTACATCTGGACAAAGCTATCGGAGTTCAGGTAACAGAGATTCGGATATTAGTCCACCTAGAAAACGCAAGCAGAATCTAGATCCAGATTTATATGAAAACAGAAAGAATAAGAAGAGCAGGGATTCGGATTTAAGTACATATCGACGTAATGAACATCGATCCCGGAGAGATAATTCGCCACGTTCCAGTTCGCATAGAGACGATAGAGGTCACGATTATCACGATAAAAAAAGTTCATCCAGATCTGATAGACATGATGCATCAAGGTAATTTCGTTGAAATAAAACGTTCGAATTTCGCTGAGAAATATTATAATCATATATTACATTATATATTACATATTGTCGCTTTAGAATTAGCAGATTATATAATTTTTTTGGGGTAGCTCAAGAGATAAACGGGAAAGGAATTATGAAGACAGAGATAATAAATCTCGATCACACTCGGATACACGAGAGAAAAGAAAAAAGACACGTTGGGGCGAGGAAATTGACGATATCGAACGTGGACGTATGGGAAGTAACGTAAAAGATCGTGACAGTCGAGCGACAAAGATGTTAGACGGCAAAACAGCAGGATTCCAAGCTGCGAAAGCATTACGAGAAGAAACTGAAGCCTATAAACGGCAAGAGGCTGAGCATTTTAGCAAGGTAATGTTTTTTATAATACAGGTATTATATTTATTCGTGAAGGCTACAGATAGTATAAGTTAGCATCAAATTGTCTCAGCTAAATAAAGAGATGACTGGAGAAGGCCAAGCTGCAATTGTACGTGACAAAATGGGAAGAAAGCGCAATCTAGAAGCAGAAGCAGCAGAAGAACGCGAACAGGAAATGAAGCAACGAGAGATAGATGACAAATACGCCAAATGGGGCAAAGGGTGAGCAATTTTTCTTCTATTTTGATTTCATTTTTACTTTTCTGATAAATTGTTTTCATTTGTGTATACTAATCCATATGTTATTCTAGCCTGAAACAAGTGGAGGATCGCGAGGAAAAGTTAAAGAGTGACTTACACGAAATGAACAAACCTCTGGCAAGATACGCGGACGACGCGGATCTAGATAAAGAGTTGAGAGAACAAGAAAGGGAGGGTGATCCTATGTTGGAGTACATAAAACAAAAACAGATAAAAGAGGGAAAAAGAAAGCCAGGTATATAAAATGAGACAAATTTTACATTTCTTTTTTCCTATCGTGTCTTGAAAAAAAAAAATATTGTTTAATATTCTCAAATTTTTGTAGATGCACCGCAATATCATGGTTCGTACGCGCCAAATCGATTCGGTATTAAACCTGGTCATCGGTGGGACGGCGTCGATAGAAGTAATGGATATGAGAAGAAGTGGTTCGAATCACAAAATGCAAAAGTAGCATTACAAGAAGATGCCTATAAGTGGAGTACAGCCGACATGTGATCATGTTCACACATATTATTACAGCAGAAGTTTTCAATTCTATTTCCATTCATTGTTAATAAAGAAGAATTAATAAAAAAATTTTAAATATTTCAATAATATAAATATTTTTTTCTTACATCTGGCACATGTAATCATGTTTTGCTTTGATTGTTTTGGATATAGAAGAACTATTTATCTCTCTCTAATCCTTATCCTTGTGTACTCCGCAAGTGGTAGCCTGACATCGCGCAATAATTGAGATATATTAGTGAGTCACATGCATAGAAATCAAGAGATCGATATTCATTCCAGAAAATGAGAGGAAGAACGGAGAGGCTGGCGCCCGTCTGGCAACGGTCTGCTGGCGATGGTCTAGGCGGAATACTCGTCATCTGCGAAATCGATCGTGCGCTTTTAAGGTCGCGGGAAATTGCTCCGGATAGCGGGTAGTATGGGGGTGTTGGGAGTGGCAAAGCGCACGTTTCAGAGAGACTTAGTCATTCGCAGTGCGCGCAATTCGGGACGTGGATCGAATCGGTTTATGGTTCGCCGTACAATCGCATCATGCGATCTATATCGAGTCCTGACGGCGAATCCTCGCGGAAGGACAGCCTTCATACATTGGTAACACTGAGACTTGCGCTTTAGCTTCCGTCGCTTCGCGCCGGCTAAAACGTGGCTAGAAACGTGGCGATCTCTTCCGCGTGCGTGCCGTCGCCGTCGCCGTCACCGTCGCTGCCGCCGCCGCCGCCGCCGCCGCCGCCGCCGCCTCCACGGCTCCTCTACGGCTCCTCTACGACGCGAGAAACGGGGGTTCTGACGCGAATATATATCGCCGGCATATACATAGCGCTAGACCGCTAGTACAATCCGACTTGGTCGCCACGCGAGCAAGGGCAGGGTCGTAAGTGAGCGACGCCAGTACTGTTCGCGACGTCGACGGGATTTCTCGCCTCTGCCTCGAGCTGCACATGTGATGCTCGACTTTCGGTGAGCCACGATCGACCACGATAGAATCCTTCCTTCCTCGGAAGGAAGCAATCGCGACAGGACGCCGGACGTCGCGTGACAGCGAGACGCATGAGGAAGTCTCGGATTACTCTCAAGTGTGAAGGATCGTCTCGCAGGTGCCGGCGCCACGCGACGTGTCAGTAACCCCCGAATAACGGTGGGGAGCAAGGGGTGGACGCAGGAGAAACGCACACATACCCGCGCATATGTATATAAAGGGAGAAGAAGAGAGGGGTGTCTATCTAATTCCGAATGAATATCGTCGAATTTTCACGGTCCAGTGAGAGTTGAGAATATACTTTCAAGAACTTCAAAGAATTCTAGTCACGAGTAGACACTTTCAAGAACTTGATAGAAATTTTAGTCGTGAGTGAAGTAGAAAGAAAAAGACTATTTTTCATTATAATATATTTCAAAGGATAATTCAAGAGAAAAATCTAAATACATAGAAAAAGTACATTTTATATATGATTCTCGAGCGAGTGAGAAAAAAGTGAATAAAAAGAGTAACAAAAGTAACAAAAAAGAGAAGAGAAGGAAAAAAGAAGTAATTTATACTCTTTAATCTTCCAAAAAAAAAAAATAAAATAAATAAATAAATAAAAACTACTATATTTGCTACGAAACTATTGTTCTATCGAGAAAAGTGATAACTATTTTTATTTGATAACGCAATGTTAACAAGAGAACTGCAATAATACAGGTGCCTGTAACGACGTCTGACTTAGTTTTATAAAAGAAGAGTTACAAAAAAAAAAAAAAAAACGTAGGAAAAGACATGGGGTGCAATACTAGCAAGGAGAGCGTTCAACCGGCGGTGGACGAAGCGAAGGAAGGTGATTCCGTCAAGAACGGGGGTGAGCGATCATCCCTTTCGATCCGTTAATCGTGCCAGTAATCGTTGCAAATTTATAACGCAAATTTATAATGAGCTGCAATAAGCGTGATCTCATTTTCTGCATATTTCCGCTTTTTAGTAAAGTAAGTTGCATGATGTGAAATTTTTGTATCGACGCGACATCGTCGTTGATGCTTTTTTTTTGTGTGTTTTTGCATCATTCTAATCTCTATAGATTGCGACTACCACAGAACTACGGCTGTTTATCTTGACAATGACAGAGTCTGCTTTGTTTCACGAATGATAAATGTACCTCTGTTCACTTCGTTAGATCCTTTGAGCTGATTGCGTGCACGCTTCAGTAATATCAACGCAATCAGTCCGGGTCGGCAGAACGAACAACTATTTTCCACGTAACGAATGTGCGTTCGATGTGCACAATGAACATAGAAATTTTTAGTTTTACTCTATTAAAATTTTATTTTTTATATCCCGTAAGACGAACAAAAATTCTATTCAGCACAAAATCAGTCTTGATTTTCTTCTCGATAATTCAGGTCATTAATTAAATAGCATGTCGATCAAAGTGGAAAATTTAAAAAAAATCCTTTCTTTAAGCAATATTAAAAAAAAACCTTCAATTTTAATTACATTAAATATATTGAAATTTTTTTGTAATTACATTTTTTAATATTTAAATATTATTAATAAGAATAAACTTAAAGTTTGTTTACTTTGTTATTTAAAATGAAATATAGAATATATAGGCTTAAAGTATACACATTTAAAATATTTTATATTTTATTGGATTTCTAGAAATTTGGCGAAAAAAATTTTAATTAATTTCCTTCTGGCGATAATGTACAATTCTCGGAAATAATGTACCAGAAAATAAACGTATGACGAGTATAAAATAGGACGCTTGTGAATTTCGATAGGGGTGTATCGAAATACCGAATAAAAATGCTGATCGCGTGATGTATGTCAAGGTTCAACCCTTCACTGTTTCTAGAACTGAATGAAAGTTCCCTCTTATAATCGAAATACAAGGCGATGATATCTACTTAGAAAAAGAATAAGAATTGATAGATTTATCAATAGAAAAATATTAAAAAAAAAAAACATGTCGCTTTTTTCTCTTATTATAAATGAAATAATATCAACGGAGTAGCAATAAACAGCGACTGATTCTTCACAAGTAGTAATAAGTTTATATAAGAAAAAAAAAGTTATAAAAACAATAATGACGATAGACTAAAGAACAGAAAGCGAATCGAATATCGATTTGTCACGTTCGAAACGCGAGAAAGTATTTCTGATTGAAACGTGTGTTTTACTATGTCCGATGAAATGGTAATGTCTGTTTACGCGTGAATTTCATGAATAATTATACATTGATTAATAATTAAAGGACTTGAGTTATCAGAAGTTGATACACACAGTCGCTCGGAACTTTAATTATTGAGTTTCGGCAATTTCTGCTTTACTGGCTGTAGTAAAAATCTGACTTTAGCAACTTGCTTCGAGCGGAATCAATTACTCGGAGCTTCGATGAATTTCCGTACGAGAGATACCGAGGTACTGAATTTTATCGATACCGACGCAATTGCAATAGAAATTCTAACTATATGGCTCGCGAAAGAATGCCGATCGAACAGGAATGCTTTTGCAGAATGATGAATGAAATCGACATATAAACGTCTTGCAAAGGTGCTGTTACAATACTTTAATCGATTCTGAAAATAGTTTGAAGATACAAAAGCGGAATGAAAAATTAAATATAAATGACATCTTTGAAAATCTTTTTTTTTTTTTACATAAAACGCTAAGATAATCCAGATTCGAATCCCAGCTGAAGTGATATTTTTCACAGTAAAAATTTTCTCGTGGGGATTTAATCAATATTATCTAATTAGTGAAGAGAAGATATAGCTTTCGAACGTTACAGAAAAAGATCGTAAGTAAACGACACGTAGTTAGCAACAAAAGCTAAATATTTCTCGAATATTTATTTAATAAATTCAAAAAAATTAAAAAATTAATAGACGATAAAAGTCCTGCCTGATCAAATAATGTTTGAATCGTCTACTTTCCTACTTGAACTTATCGATCTATATACACTTATTTGTTTACTACGTTTCTATAGATATCGAATATTTGAAATATTTAAAATATTAGAAAAATTTTTTGGATCGATATTAATAACATAAAATTCCAATAGTGAGTGTGTATGTGTGTTCTGTTGTGAACTATCGGTGAACTATAATTAGATTAATCTTACGGTTAATCTAATTATAGCAACTATATACATAAAAAGTAACACGTCTGACCTAGTTTTGCTTGTGTACAATTGCGGATCGTTATAATTCCCAATCTCCAGGTGACAATCGTTTAGTCGTTAAAAGGAATATTTCTTCATACAACAGTCGTGAAAACAGATAACAAACAAAGAAGTGTAAATTAATGTAATGTGTAAATTAAATTATAATTATATTTTTCTTACAAGCAATAGTTGAATATAGATAAAACACGTTGCGCTTGGATTGTATAGTTTTGATATTCGCTAATGGCATGTAAACATCAGCAATTAATTAGCATATAAGTAGCTTATATGTAATGCAATCTAATTTATCATTCGGTGACGCAATTTTAATAGCGTCTGCAAACTGTTTATATCAGCTTTTTCTTTAATCCTCTTTGGTATCATCACTGGCTTCTTGGCGATTTAAATGCCGTGACAGTATTATCGCTGTTGTGCTTAAACCGTTCACAAAAGCATTTACGTCCCTTTTCACAAAGAATATTATTTTTAAAATAATGAGGCGTATTTATAGAATATTATCGTATAATTTCCTTGGCATTTAATACAATTTATTATAGTACAATTTCCAATGTAATTTTTCAAACATTGAAACGTTAATAGAGATTAAAAGGAAGAAAGGAAAATCTAATAAGGGAAGAAAAGTAGTTTGTAGTTTGCAAAATGTATAATTATAATATTGCGAAAAGCATAAAAAAAGACGCTTTAAGCCATCTCTGGAGAATTCTCTGAATATTCGCGTTGGAAAGAAAGAAGAAAGAAAGAAAAAAAAGATCAATATCTTTTTTAGGCTGGGAGAGTCCAAAGTGGAATTCGAAACCGATATATTCTCCTCGCGCACATTCGCAAGTTCGATAGAACTCGCGGAGACATTCGGTCGCCGAATCGATGTGCCCGGCATCGGAGGGAGGCGGGGGGGGGGGGGAAGGTTATTAACGGCGAGCGAGCGAGCAAAAGGCGCGAATATAAAAAAGTTGGAAGGCGCGCGCGAAGGGTTGAACGACATCCGCGCGACGGCCCTGTTTCGCGGCGTGCAGCCGGTTCGCGGGGCGAAAATCCGAGGACTGCGACTGCGAACGAGCGGCGCGGCAGGGCCGTGATCGGTCGCTATTATAAACGGGGTCGTCGGTGCCCGGGAACAGTCAGTTGCACGTCAGACCGAGCCGCGCGTGGATGTGCAGGTGAGAGAGAGAGAAAGAGACCGAGCGGAGCGAGGTACGCGGCGTACGCGCAGGTGAGACTCGCCGACGGCGCGAGTGCGAGCGCGATTCACTCGACAGCCGCCTCCTGGCGATGCAACCCCATCATCGCGTGCACGCATCGCATCGGAGAAAAATCGGGTTAGATGCGACGGGGTGGCGGGTGGCCGGTCACCCCCGGGGCGGGGGCCTCAAGTGATAGCCGTCTCGGCACGCGAGGCACGCGAATCGTGTTCTCCACGCTCCGCTTAAAAATCGCGTACGAGATACGCGATAAAGCCCAAAACGAGATGATCGACGACGCGATCGCGTCGCGTCGGGTGCGACGAGTCTCTCTCTTTCCTTAGATTTCTCGCTCGCGGCACATCCGAGAATATCCGCGGGTATCGAACGCGGCCCCGTGACCGGGCCGGGTCAAGTAAAAGAGGAATCTTTAGCGATAAGGGAAAGAGTCGCGCGCGCACGCACGCACGCACGCACGCACACACACACACACACACACACACACACACACACACACACACACACACACACACACACACACACACACACACACACACACACACACACACACACACACACACACACACACACACACACACTTGGAAATTCAAAACCCATTTAAGATCAGCTGTTCGGTTGACCTACTGTTATTTCGCAGGAGCTAATGGGCGTAAACCGATTGAAGGGCGAGCGAAATAAAATTCTCTCAGATAGCCGCGAAAAGAAGGCCATATCCAGATCAAAGAGTGCAGCTCAAGATTTGTAAATCTCTTTATCAATTAGATATCTTGATTTGTCATTATCGCGTTTTTTATTTAAAATACAAGAATACAACAAACTGTTAAATTATTTGTACGAGATTTATCGAATCGTAAAATTTTTGTTCGACAAAAATATTTTTGTCTGAGATTGTTTTATTAATTAATGTTATGTTTTATTAATTAATATTAGTAAGTTGAATTAAAATACTAATATTCTGTTATTTTTTCAATCATATTAAATTGCAAAATAAAATATATAAGTCGTTAAAAGCTTATCATCCAGAAATTACTTTTTCATTTTTAAACGATTAATTTTTCCGGTAGAAGTTTATGTCATACACATCTTTGTAAAAATAAAACAATTTACGATATCGTCAATTTACCTTTACAATTTCAATCGATATATAAAGCGAGATTAATCTGTTTAGAGTTGAAAGGAGTTTCATAATCAAGCTAATGTTGTTTTTCCAATGGGAAGTCTGATTTCCTTGAGGGTAGTTCTGGTAACAAGGTCTGGGCGGATCGATGGCGGAACATCCCCTCGCGTGATATCAGAAAAGAAATAAAAATAAGCCCGAACATTTAAGAAACATTGTCGTCGTAAAAAACACCGAGGGGACAGGCGTCTCGGGGAATTCTCAAAGAAATTACGATACAAATATACAAATATATATAGCCAGCCAGATCTCAGATAAATATTTCAGTTTCCTGAACTGAAATTTAATGCACACTTTTTATGCAGGCGCATAAAATGTGTGCGATTTTATCCTTCCTTCCTAGCACACTTTTTACTTTCTCGCGGAAAGCCTTACAGCATATATAAACATAAACGTCGATAAAATTACCGCGAACCTGCACAGAGTGCTCGACCAGCCAGCTTTGCACACAAGGGTGGCAAAATAACGGAGCACCGCATAACTGGGGACGAACTCATTGCTCGTCGCAAAAGTGTCTCCGTATTTCTTGAATTCCCACTTGCTCCGTCGAGTGGTAACCTAGGGAAACCATGTCGAGCGCTCAATAGCCGGAGCGTTCTCTTTTCTGAAAACGAAAATTCAATGTCCAATAGTGTCACACTTCATCCTATTCGTCTTACATTCATGCTCAAATAATTTTAATTCGTCATCCAGCTTCGTGAAAGAAATTCAGCTTCGATTGAATTAATGATGAGTGAGTTATCCTGTTTCTGAAAGAAATTATATTTATAATCGAGACTATATAAGTTTAAACTCCTGAAAACATGCAATACTAACAGGGCTTTGATCTAAAATATGATTAATTTTAAGCTAATAACGTTCGCTTTTGTTAAAAGGAAGGAAGGAAGGAAGGAAGGAAAACGGGAATAATGAAGAAATTATTTTTTTATAATTTCAAAAGAAAATTCATACCCACGAAGAAGTGATCGCTTAAGGATGCAATAGAATCTTGTGTCAATATGTCGGTAGTACGTCGATTAATCATCGGAGGCAAGTTTAGCTTAATTAGAAAGGGATTGGAAGAATCGATTAATATTCTTTCCATTATTCTACATTAGGGCGCGAAATATTAAAAATGCATATTAGGCGCCGTATAATCTCGAACGTGCAGCGCGAAAATAGAAACGCTAATCGATACTTGTCGCTCTGAACGCGTCTGTGGAAGGTGAAATGTTCGGAATAAATGTAGGTGAACTGTGGCTAACATGGCAGCCATTTCTAATATACGGGATGTATCAGAAGCCGCGCCCTTTCTCCAATCTCTGACGGATATTTTGAACAATTTAGAACCGCTTTTTCCCTAAGAAAAGCTCATTAAGAGACAATTATAAATTTACATTTAGTATCGAGTGATTTACATATTTAGTGTTATCTCTTATTATTTATCTTCGATATTTATATCTTTTATCAAAACAATTTCTGGTGTAACCATCAATGTATATATTTTGCAATAAAATTAAACGACATTATTTTCAATTACTTTTGTTCAAAGATATCTCAAAAGCGGCCGAAGATAGTGCAACGAACGCGGAGTCCTCGGACAAGGAGAAAGAAAACGACACGGAGGAGGAAAAACAGAAAGAGGCAGCAGCCACGAAAATACAAGCAGCTTTTCGTGGGCATCACGCTAGGAAAAGTCTAAGAGTATCGGAAACAGCGTCGAAGCCAAAAACTGACGAAGAATCTACGGAACAATCCACGAAAGAGCAACTGGAAGAGGAATTCCCTACCGACGACCAGGGTGAGCGACATTACATGCCCTGACATAAATTCGGAGCTCGGGGAAAATCGGTTTTTTGAAACAGCTTCTATTCTATAGAGCTCTGTGACGCGGCGAAGAAGATACAAGCGACTTTCCGGGGCCACATGTCGAGAAAGGAACAAGCCACCGCTGCCGCCAAATCGGCGATCAACATGGTCGAGAGTGCGACTGCCAAGATAGAGGAAAAGGTAAGTTAACAGTCAATCTCATTAGATACAGACTTCTGCTATCTCTATTGATCAAAGAGGGTTAGATAAAAGCTGCTTTATCTAGCATCTGCCTTCAGCCTTCTGATAGAAATTTTAAATACGAGTATTGACTCTTCGCAGAACACTTTACGTGACCTGGTATTATATCTGATTATTAAGAAAGCGTTATACTCTATTATTTGTTATTTTTTACTATCGATAGGCAATGAATTTCTCTGTTTAATTGAGTTATTTTGTTCAATTTAAAAAGAAATTTGTTTGATTTAAAGAATTATATCTATAGATTATACAATGACTCAAAAGATTATACATATATATAATCTTTTGAGTTTTTGGCATTGAATAATGATGAATGTGTGTGTATGTGTGTGTGTGTGTGTGTGTGTGTGTGTGTGTGTGTGTGTGTGTGTGTGTGTTCATTTGATATTGATTTAAACCTTCTGCCATTTAAATTAATTAATCTCTTTTGCTTAACAAGAAATAATACCTTTAAAAAGGTGTATAAAAATTTATCAATCTATTGCTGTCAAGAATGATTGAAGATAAGATGGGATAAATGTCACTAATTAAGATAAAGAATAAAATGCCTTTGCCCTAAAGTAAAAATTCCACATTGAGAAAAATATTTTAATTGTACTAACAAGACATATTATATATAGATAAAGTATATTCTGATAAAGTAGAATAAACTTTCTTATTGTCGCAATTGGATTTTTTGTAATTGCATTGTAGAACATGTGATATGCTTAATTTTCAAAATTTAATTAACATTTTTTTGATCGCATTTATAAAACTTTTCATAATATTATTATTATTATTTGGTAGTATTCATTAGACCCATGAACCAAATTTACAAAGAGTAATCTGGTAAACGCAATAAATGAAAATCATTGTAGCGCACACTAGCAATTTAATATTATACTTATATCACGTTGTTGTTTCCCGTCGATATTATACAACGAGTAATCGTGGCAATAAAATGTAAATCGAAAATCCGATAATGTGTATAATATTATGATCAATGAGAAAACTTGATCTTTTCTTTGAAGTTTTGCTAAATATTAGAAATGGTTAGAAGCAAATAACAGTTTATTTGAATTTCAGCAGTTGTTGCTCTATAATTATCGCACGGCATGTTATTAAGCTATTATATGGTAATATATACCTAGTTTATTAAAACCAAGCACGCGCTTCGCGCGGATCACTTTTCCTCTATTTTCTTTAATTTTTTATTTAATTTTTTTTGATTGATTTATTAAATACTCCACATCGTTTCCATTAATAAAGAATATAATAAAAACAGTTTTGAGTACATTAAAAAAAAGAAGTTTTTGTGGATATAGACACGAAATATTAAAATACTTAAATGCTTGCAATTAATATTATTAATGTTATTATTTCTATTTAATTATAACAACGAAATAAAATTTCAATAATTAATCAGCAGAGCTCATTTTTCACTGTAAACCTGTTGATCTAACCAGATAAAATTACATCATTATCAACAACTCTTGTTACAGTAATTAGAAATGATCGAAATTCTCGTTTAATCTCGTTTAATAATAAATGGATTCATTTATCTTCTAAAATTAGAAAGCAGAATTCTGTAATATGTACAATACAGAAAGAAGTCTATTTAGTATCTATGATTTTTGATTCGTTCATTTCTGAACGTAATGTTTGATTCTATCAGATTTCTAATTTATGCAATCAGATCTTTTTTTAATGTATCTATTGGAGCTCGCTTTTTCACACAAGAACTTTTTCCCTTTTCTTATAACAGTTACAAGTTTTACAAGAAAAAGTGTTTTATTAATAGATTACTTTATTGACTAATGAAATTATTTTATATCTTCCAATGAATTGAAGTGATTTAAAGAGTAATACAAATAAATGTCTCAGCAGACGTTTTACAATGTGCTATATTAAGTTATATTTCTATATCAAATCACTATGATAATCGCATAATGCTTATTGGGCGTTATATTGAAACAATAAATAGCTAAGAGAGTCTGTTGTAATCAAAGTAATTTTTTTCTTGATCTGACACGCCGATATTGATTCGATCGATGAAGCGGTAATGACAGGTTTTGATACACAAGGTCGCCATGATCGATCATTTCTGTGCCGTTCATAAGAGAAGGCTATTGTTAGATCCTTTGACATTACGTTGATCCACGAATACTCGGCGAATAATCGACAGCTGCCTTCCAAGCTGAAGATGATCATCTGGGTATCGAAGCGCTACTAAAGCTCGTCCCGAGACCAATAGACCGATATGGCTTACAATTAAGTCAAGTTACTTTCGTGTCGTAGCGATTAATTACGTACTAGTTGACGCACGGCGGGATTCCGTGCAGTTTAAGCCTCATGTAAGATGAGAAGGGAGTTACCTCGATAAACGCGAAAGGCGTCCCGTTAATGAATAAATTTCGGAAGCTAAAATCCGAGGATCCGAAAGGAGATACTTAGGGTACCTGAAATTAATGAAAACGATTACAGGTGTCTGTGTATTACGTTTTTTTTTTTTCCTTAAACTTTGCCGCAGATGCAGGATGCCGTACACGAATTAGAGGGGATCGATCTGGCTGATCCAGACCTGCATAAGGCAGCGACTAAGATCCAAGCGAGCTTCCGCGGTCACAAGGTCCGTCAGGAAGTCAACATCCATTCTACTGCCGACGACTCTAAAAAATAAGACGCTTACTCAAAACGCAGGGATGACGCCGGGAGATAGAATATTATTACTTATTACAGTCAGTGCCATTCTTAACAGGTTTCGAACGCCATCCCCTATTTCTTGTACCTTATAATGTAGCATCCGTGAATTAGTAAGATATGCGCGTTAATAATATACGAGGCATTCCAAGAGAAAAGCCGAACAACGGACAGCCGAACGAGATTTGATTATCAGTTCACCTCGGACCGCTAGTTGTAAACAACGATACCGTTTATTTTACGTTAACAATTAATCCAGCCTTCGCCCGGGACCAGTGAGATTTAAGCGCTTTCTACTTTGGCTAAACTGAGAATCTTTCAAACGGAAGTATTTACAGGCTGAGGCATATAAATGGGAATACCTAAATATCCTCCTATCGTTTATGAATATATTAAAAAAAAAAAGTTTTCTGGAACAAAGTTACACTGTGTAAAGAAAAGCTATATGGCAAATAAAAAAGTTTGTTCCTTGAGTCGATTCTTATAATCGATTTTGAGTACATTCCACATAATTCGCTGTAACGTTAAACTATTCTCATACTATCGACTTGTACTTACATTTTTTATGAGTTATTACTGCCATACGTGGGCATCGAGAGACATACAGGCAGAGTTTTCAAGACATTGTTTTCAAGGGGCTTTTCAAGACAATTGATAAAATACACCTTATATAAAACGTTATAATAAGAAAAAGATAAGACGAAGATAAAGAGAAATAAAAGAGAACGGACAGTTTCCTATATACAGTTTCCTATATAATACTCAACATAAATTGTGATTCACAAGAAGAACAGTATGACAAATATGCAAAGTCCTCGTATCTGGTAGGTATGTTAAGCGGAACAGATAGAGTATAACTTTGACGTCCTGCGCATGATAAATGGAGCATACATTAAGATGTACCAATATCAATATGCATGTTAACTTTTATAAGTTCCTGTATCCTATGTAAAATAAACGGTATGGTTGTAACGTTTCCAATTCTAAAGTTAACAATGAAAGTCTGTTTTTCGAATACTCTTTATTATGACACACATATATTTGAAGCACGTTTTTAAACATTTAAAACAGATTTTATTTATTTGTCCTTAATTTTTTTTAATATCGTTGAAACGGAATGTGATAACTAAAAGTATATTTCTTGATTGCACTTTTTACATTTTCCATTTTACATTTTCTTCTTTGATATCTTTCTCTCTCTTTGTTCTCTTTCTCTATCTAAGATATTAAATGTATATTTGTTTCATTTTTTTGTTTCATGTAAGGAAAGTGTAAAAATGTGTATGATTGCTTCTCTTTTGAGAGTTTGGAAAAAGCATATTGATATCTAAGGATAAAATAAAGAGGTGGTTAGTTTTGATCGTCACATTCTTCAATTCATTATATTTAGAAAGATTGTAAATTTAGAAATTTCCTCATAATGCTGATTACATATAAAAACAATTGAGAGAAAAAATTCCAAACTCTTAAACACAAACATAATTTTACAAATTTTTGACGAAAAATATTGTATTTTATTATCGTATTTTACGTTATTAATGCAGTAGAACTTCTATTTGACGCAAAATATGACATATTTAAATTGCAATTAAATTGCAATTTACATGCATTTAAATTGCAAAGTAAAATTTACAGATTTATTATAAACATATGAATCTATGAAATTCCTTCTTGAAATCTTTTCGATATTATTCACCTTACGCAAGTGATTCTTTCAGATGCATTCACATATTGCTATCTTCAAAGCATCAAAGATAATGTGCTTGAAAATATATACGTACGATTCATCGGCCTATTGTCAATAACAAAATAATTATAAAACAAACGTTAATTGAAGTTCTACTGCATCGATTAAAAGCGTGCGTAATATACAAAATTTATAGTTGCTTAAAAAGGACTACAAAAGCCTCGTTAAAATAACGAGTGTAGTCTTTTTAATAATGATAATTTTGAGCTTATTTGCTCAAAACCCTCTTGTACCAAAGTTAAAATCGAGGTTGTATGTGTATAATTTTTATGTTTTCTTTATTTAATGTAATATATAGCGGAATTTTTTCTAAATATCGACAGCTACCTCCAACTTTGTTGCGATCTAGTCCATTTTTCATGTAAATTAGTGTATCGATGTACCCTTGAAATGGGAATTTATTTTATCAGGCCTAAAAGAAACTCATTTGCGCTGCTATCGATCACTTCTTGTATGTGATTATAGTAACGATCGATCAGCATGCGATTCAAGATGCATAGTATGAAGCAGCGAATCAGCAGCTAAACTACTACAAACGATTGTTTATTCTTCAATGCTAGCTTTATTCGTCCACAAGGCAGGGTACTGCGAACTTTTATTATTTTCACATTCGTCCACGTGTTTTTCTACAAAGCGAATAATTATTTCTACCTTCTATATTTGTAATTTAATAACGATATTTATACCGATTTTGCTGGCGAATTATGTATTAAATAATATTACGCGACATACGCCTGTATTACACGTTTCTAACGCTGACTATGAGCAATAATTACACGTATTTATTGTGTCAAAATTTCGCAAATTTAGCAAGTATCATATTATGCAAGTAATAAACGTTGTACGAGTATTAAACGTATCGCGGTAATATTGAAACTTTCTCAAATATAATATGTACTATTCTACGCGATATCTCTACGCGATGGATATATATTGATTGCAATGGTACGTGCAGCTATTGTTCAGAAGCAAGCAGATATAAAAGAGATAGTCATCTTTACAGCATGTCTGAATTTCCAATATTTCCGATATTTTATTTATAATTCCCGATTCCCGATATCGCTAACTTTTAGCTTCTAAGATCGAATTTGGGATTTTGCAATCGCAAATTCCCTTTCCCCCTCCCCCCGCCCGATTTCCCGCAGAGGGTTCCCGTGGATATTTCCAATATTTCCATTCCCGTAGTTATATATCCACAGATTATTATTTACTACCGATACTACCTAATTTTCGAATTTTACGAAACGAATATTGTCTTGGATCACACATTACTCATAGGTTATTGACAATTGTCGCTTGTAGAAAATTAAAGAGAAGCTTCGGTATCGTCGAAAATGATCTATGATCGAGTAACGTTGTCCAGTTTACGTGTTGTCGGCGTGGACACTGCGAGTGAAGAATTTATTTATTGTATCGAATTTTAATGTATAGAGAGCAACGTTGCGACGGATAATAGGCATTCTTGTCGATACGCTACTTTACCACGTATGAATAGTTTAGCCATGCACAAGAACAAGTTGTGGTAAAATATATTGTAAGAAATATAATAAAAAAACGACCTACCGCGATGAAGCGGGCGGTACATTACATGTAATCCGTAATTTGTTTAAAATACACACCTCCTAAATGTATTAAAATCTAAATTTCAGGACGCCATCCGCAAACTTAATCAATTGAATTTAATCTGGACGCGATGACGTAATAACAAATATAGTCAAATTTATCAAAGATTCCATTATGACATTGTCAAATAATGAAATAATAATTCATCTTTCTCCTCATACAAAAACGTAATTGCTGCAACTTTAATAATTTAATATTGCGATACATAATTTAATTGTAACATCAAATTTCGATATAAATTTTAAAACTTATTTCGAGAGCTCAACGAATAATGTATTACTTTATAAAAATGAGTATTATTATTTTTAAAAAGAACATTGCTAAAGATATATAATATAAATTCATTTTAAAGCAAAATTTTCATGCAATAATATAATAATTAAATAACAGATTTTTAATATTGCATATATCGAAAAAAAATTGCAGTTTTATCCGATGTCGAAAATATAAGTTGTATAGTTAGTTAACATTCTTATCGCCAGATGTCGTTTCATAGTTATATCATGTCTGATCACTCTGTTTGCACGTTTTTCATTCAGGATAGTCCAATAAACGCTTAATATATACTTTTCTTGAGTACATTTATTTATTATACAATACAATATAAATCGGCATATATTCTCTATATCCATCGACTTATATTCTCTATATCCAAGCTACATCATACACGTCATGGGCAAGATATATTATTGTGACTATTGTGACAGATCATTTAAAGATGATGTTGATGCTCGTAAGAAACATTTGTTCAGTATGCAACATGTGACAAATAGAGTGAGTCACTACAACATGTTTAAAGGTAAATTTTTAATAATTGTTTTTTCTTATTTGTTTGTTTATTTAAATAATTCTATACATAACCTCTTTCTCTTGCTTATAATTGGAGAGAGGAGAGAGAGAGAGAAAGAGAGAACGGGCTACATACAAAATTGATTTACTATTATTTTTTAGATCCGGAAACGATATTGAAAGAAGAATATGATAAAACTCCATGTAAACGTTACATGACCGTTGGAGATTGCGCTTTTGGTCTTGGTTGTCGATTTTCACATTATACACCACCAATGATATGGGAACTTCAACAGCTCGGTAATCATTCTATCGACCGTTCAATCATTATTGCATTAAAAAGCATTAACCTTCAGTAGATAAATTTTTTTTTCTAGCTGCAATGAAAAACTCCAAATTGCCAATAGTCCAACCTAAGGACGGTTGGCCAAATTCAGAAGATATTATCAAGGAATATTTCGAGAATGTGATCGACACGAGCGATACCGAGGATCTTCCAATTCATAATTACCCAGTGTGGAATACACCGTCAATGAATTTTTCTTATTTACCACCATCTCTGCGACCCCTCACATCAGAAACGATGATGGACTGCAATTTTAGCAAATGGGGTTGAACTCGCTAAGTCTATGTCTCATACTTGTTGAAAATAAAATGTATTTATTTGTTCGCAATTTTATCGCGTTCAATTCATCGGAGTTACGATCTCAAATTGTACGTGTTATCCCGCCGAGCTTCAAACCAAGCGACGCTTGCTATCATCCGAACAAAGTCCCCTCCGTTCTCCCTTCCAGGATCGTTTACACCAATCACCAGACGAGCCCGCCTTCATACAGTGATGTTGCCATGGAACACAGTGGCGGAGCACTCGTTGCCACGACAGTAGAAGTCGGCACGTGACGCGACGCGACGCGACGCGCTGCGCCTGACGAATCGACATCGGTTTCTCGAAAAAAAAAAAATAATAATAATAAAGAAGAGAAAAAGCTCCTTTTTGTGAGGCAAAAAGGGGGACGAACCGAACAGTACGGTTACATTACTCTCGCGAGTGTACCCTATTTGCGCGAAGAAAACATGAGTGTTCGCGAGCGCCGGTCCCTCGCATCATTCACGAGCGCCTGGTGGACGCGTTAAAAAAATCGGAGTGCCACCTCTGGAGGGGCCTTTGCTGATTTAGCGAGATTGGAATCCGAGGCTGGACCCCTCTAGGTCGCGTCGGTGAGTCTCGATGAATTCTTTTCCATGGCGTGGGCCCATACGAGCGAGAAATCGTAGGAATCCATCAAATCAAAGCGAAAGAAAAGAACCCTAAACGTGTATGTATGGGGAATACCATTATGTAGATACCATTATACTAGACTTCAAAAAAAGAAAAACAGTGCCGATTTTTATATTGTATATTAAAATATGAGAAAATAAACAAAATAATTTTTAAACTTAAAATTTTAGTATAGAGTCATTTTATATTACATATTTTCATATTTTATATTAAAAAAATTGTATGCGTGTAAATTTTAACGGATTAAACATTCTGAGTAGAAAGATAATAAACGTCTACTCTTTGCGGTGTGAATTTTTAAATTAACTGAATTGCAACTTGAAGATTACTGTACGTCAAAGAATGTCTAAAGAAACCATAAGTTTACAATCCCCGTATTTATGTCGAATACGCTGTGCGATACGGAAACTGAAAGTTTCTTACGCGCCGTCAACTCATTGCAATGTGCGCTCCGTTTCCCGTATGCGCATGACATCACGTCTTGAATAAAAAATTTCTGATTGTTGGATAGGCCAAGGACGCAGGCTGGTCAGCGCTATCATTAAATCTAACTTTCATTATTCGGAAAGAGATTTGGTTTTAAAAATGTAAGAATTCAATTTGGCGGAAATAAATTTTTGCCAATTCCCTTTAATTCACGCGTCACTTTTTCCTTCTTTAAATATCTATAAAATTAAAGTGACAAGTCTACAGAAGATATTCGCATTACGTTCGCGAGCGCTTGCATTCTGGTCGACACTGACACGCTGAGCCGGACATAGCGTGAAATAGAATACCGCCTTACGTCCTGTGCTCGGAATGCACATTGAAGCGTACAGAACTTAAGTTCGGATTTTTATCTATAGAGATCACTTTTCCGATACTTCACTCCTTTAACATGGGAATTCTTTTACCATTGCGAAATGGATGTAAAATGGATTTCTCCTCAGCGATCGAGAATGATCGATCAATTTATTATTATTTTTTATAATTTTACACTTATAAAGATAAATAATTATATTACTTTTACATTGTTTTTTTGGGATGCACGTCAAAATCGCGAAATAAACAAAAAAGTAAAAAAATAAGCGGGACTGGTGGGACGGCAAATGCAGCGTGACGGCGTGATGATGGCAACGACCTGAAGAGCTGTATACAATCCAGTCACGATTCTCGGTGGAGGTCGTGACCTTGCCGATATGCAGGATACAAGGGATATGGAGAACACTAGGCGAATAATCCTGTATTCATCGGGAATCTCAATTACGTCGAGTTAATCCCGCAGACATTTGTCAAACAATTTATAAAGGAAATAGGTAGATCAGATAGAAAGTCGGTGAGGAGTTCATCCGATATTGAGATGTTGATAAACTAAATGGGATTAAGATTTGAAAGGAGAGCGGAGCTTAAAGATTTGAAAATAAATTCTTGACCTGATCAGAAGCAAAAATCATGAAATATTCATCTCTCTCCGAGAGAAAAATTTAACGGAATTTGAATTTCATCTCGCTAGCCGTAAGGACTCGCTTTCTACATATGGATGATTTTGAGCGCGAGCCTGGATCGATTTGACGAACCGTTCTTGCCCATTGTTGCACCCCATGAATTGTCCGTTGTGAAGCAGCTGCCTATGACCTACGGTGCGTACGTCCCTTACGCCGAGCTGCCGTTCTAACAATGCCTCGCGAAACGCATGGTTGCTTCGCGAATCTCCCTTTTTACTAGATTTCTCTCTATAAGGGACGCTTTGGTTGAAACTTGGGAGAAAAACCATTTATTCCGCAAAATTATAATAGATTATTTTACATATGTACAAAAAAAGATGTTCAGCTACTTCATTTTACTACACATAAAATAGGGCGACAGAAATTTACGCGAGCAATTGCTTATGTTTCTAGCTCTAAAATCACCGTCGTCGGACGCTGTGAAAATACGCAAGTTGTATGTTCTTGGTCTTGATCTCGGTTTTGGAGTTTGTCTCGTTCTCTAATGCTGCCAGTAGAACCCGCTAAAAACGAGAGCCACCCAACAATTTAACGTCATTTATCTCTATTGCCTTTATACGGGTCCATTACGTCATGCCGATTTCTTCGTTGCCGTTTCTCATTCCGACTCGCAGCTATGCAAACGTCTCGTTTTCGTCACGCGAAAGAAGAAATTTCTTATCGAAATTTTTCGACGTGAATCTGAATAAGGATGCGCGACTGAGAAACGCAAACAGTAACAGATCGATAATGTAATCGATGCAGCGAGCGTTACAAATACCGGCTGGGAAAACCAGTTACACTTCGTTAAACATGTTTTGCTGTTTCAAAAGATTCGTAACGCCGGTAGATCGACCTTGAGAATAAAGACCTCCTGAATATATGATTTAATGCATTATACCTGTTACGACTTATGTTTCTATACTACTTTCGCTTTAATCGCTGAACAGCGTAAAATGCTACTTCCAGAACCGTGTCGAGGCGGCGTGTATTTTTCCCTGATTTTATTTTAATATTCCAACCGATCTAATGTACGCATCATTTAAATTTCCGAGAGGCGCGGCGTTAATCGAAGTCGATTATAAAGCGCGTGCAACGCAAGCGAGACTTCTACGTCTGCCCACATAATCTCGTTCGGGGAAACGTGTGGGAATTTTGTTTGGGTGGAAAAAGTGAAAAAACGAGCCTACGCGCCTACTTTGTACTTGCGTAGATTTTTTTTTTTTTTTTTAGAAAAAGGGTAAGACAATTAGAAACGAAGAAAATAATTCGAAAGAACTTTCAAGAGGGATTAATTAAAGAAATATATATATATATATATATATATATTTGTATAGAATGCCTACGTGAAAAACAACTTGGATACAATGGAAGAATGAACAATAACACGTGCTTGTTATGTCAGCAAACGCCAGTTAAGCTATCCATCAAAATCGCGCACAAACAATTATTTCGAGTCGCACGTCTACTCCGCTATCCCATCGCTTTCGATAAACATCTCGTATGTCTATAAGCAGTACATCGGCGTTAATGTAGCTCGACGGGAAGCTGTTTCCAAAGGGTTTGCGTACGAGAGGAGCGGTAAAAAAATGAAGATGAAGAGGCAGAGGAAGATGCGGTTGCCAGGCAGATGTCGCCGGCAGACGAGCGAAACTGGTGATTCGTGAAACATTCGCACGAACGATTGTCACGCGATATTACGCATACGTGCGTTACGCATCTCTTCCTTTGGACGTATCGGGTTGCAACATTTCTCCGAGTTAGTTGCACGAGTTAGTTCCTCTCTATAGCTTTCCTTTAAATCGTTAATCATCGCAGACGCAATCGTATTCTACATCACTTGGTCTCAATTGTCTCAAACAATTCCGACAATTATCATATGCGTCCGTATCGATATGGCGGGTGACAAGCTAACGGGGCAGGCTGTCTTCGTCAATGACAAACTCCGTAGTCCGATCCTTATCGGGCGAACGCCATTTACAGCGAAGCCTGGTGTCTTTCGAGAGAGAGAGAGACGAGAGAGAGAGAGAGAGAGAGAGAGAGAGAGAGAGAGAGCGCGCG